TCGTCTTTCCTTGTACCAAGTCAATACACCCCATTAAAACCCAGTTTACATCATGTTCACCCCCCTCTGCTTGCACTGTGATTGCGTGATAAGTCATTGATATATGATTTAGTTATCTCCATTGTCATCTCGAAAGGTTCTTTCCAACTCACTATTTCATAATCCCATTTAGCCTAAACAAAAAGAAGTGTTGAAGACATACCTGCCTAATTCAACTTAGAGCTTGTTAAACATAGTAATTTTCCTCACTTTCGGTTTCCCAATTGTTGTTGAGACTTTTCCTCACTTCAATGTATAAAGTCTAGCGGTGAGGAACGAAAAGTGGCATCTCTAGCTGGTTGGCAATTTGGGGGTTTATTTAATTCAAGACAATTTAACAAAAAGAGGTATAGCAATCTGAAACAGGTTCTACTTATGCTTGACAAAGAATGAGAACATAGATCATCTGTTTTTGCATTGTCCTATAACAAAGAACATGTGAGACATGTTTTTCTGCATTTTGGGAGTACAATGGTTAGTACCAATGAGGCTGAAGGAAGTATTTATTAGCTGGCGAAAATTGGGAAATCCATCAGAAATACATGGCAAGTGGTTCCATCTTGTTGCATTGGAGCCTTAGGAAGGAGAGGAGCCTGAGGTGTTTTGAATCTTTTGATGGAGTCTCAACTCCAATTCATGTATGCTTATTGAATCCTTTTGCTTGGTGTAACCATTGTAATGTAAATAATGCTCTAATGTTTTTGGATTTTGTACTCCACTTGAATTTTAGATAGGAGTGAAAGGAGTGTACAGGATCCACCTGTTTTTGTATTGCTTTTGCATCGTCTGGATGCTGGTCCCAAAAATCTACTTTTTCCAGACTAAAAAAGGAGTATACTGGAGAGCAAGGAATGAGGAGTGGTTGTTGTAATGAGTAAAAGCAGTCAGAAATAGCAAGCACACTTAGTGAAGTGTTGATTAAGTGGGACAAACATGAGATGCTTTAACTTGGCTGGTAGTTGGCAACGCTGATTCTATCAAATAGTGGCATAGAAAACTTAATTTCCAAGGGAAATGGTAGTCCTAAAAAATAGTGCAGCAAGATAATTTAGCTTTTAGGCAGCTTCAAAAAGATTTAATTCGTTAAGAACAAAAAAAGTCCCAAAAAGTAGATAACACAAAAAAGATATTGACGGATTTAAGACTTGCCATAGAAGTGATTTGTTGTCAAGCTCCTGCTTTGGTACATCGCGGCCACGCATTGTCACCAAGTCTAAGAATATAGCTTTGTTCTCACAACAAATCACAAGAAAATGGCGCCCTTTGGTTGATGCAGCAGGAGAAGTAAAAGTTGAGGTGACATGACCAGCAGCTGCTGGGGACTCGGCAGCAGCAGATTGATTCCTCCAGAGTTGCCAAAAGCGTATATCATCATCGTAAAAGCTAACCTGCTTTACACTTGAACCATGCACCAGAATGGCATACTAAGATTCAACGAAGACACTAAAGAAACTGAAAGAAAATGGAAGTCCAAGGTAAGAATCAATTACCTCCCACCTCGTATGGCTTCTGTAGGTTTCCCTCTAGGCTCTGCATACAACATTAACATCAATCTAAATTCCACCTAAATTAGTCAATTTAAGATGATACATATACCCGACTCCTAGTAGTCTGCGACTGAGGCGTAGTAACAGATGTTGCTAATGTTACTGAAATGCCAATTTAACAATAATTAGCATAAATTAATAAGCACGCAGACCTACCTGATTCACCCTCGGCAAGCTTCTCCAGTTTAGCACCAACCAAACGCCGCTCATCAACACCACCAGGTTTCAGTTCATAAATAATCTAGCAACACAATTTGCTATTATTTGTTAATCCAACAAACAGAAAGCATAATACCGAAAATATTTCACGAGAAGACAAACCTGGCGGTGCTCCCAATTCCAAACGGAGACGTGATCGGATGCATCAGCGGTGACGAGCCAAGGATGCGTCGGATGCATATGAATCTTCACGATCTTATCGTTTGTCGGACGAAATGCCCTTAGGCGCAGCATTTTTTCCAATGCTTTATGAAAATGCAAGCAACTAAGAAATGGATCTGATTATAAGTACATGTATTTTGTGCTTTTTGGTGCTGAATCGCGCTTTTTGTCCAAGTGTCTGTCTTCCCAATTTCAGATGATAATGACGGATCTTTTCCGGCGGGTGCTGGTGGTTGTTGGAGTGTTTGGCCGGTTCAGTGAAAATGGTTAACTATGGGGCTGATTAAAGGGCGCCTTGGACCGGCGAGCGAGAAAGGAGATGGAGATGGATAGCGAGTTGTCATTTTGAAAAAGAAAAATTAACCGTTTAACTGTGCTCTCAGTCAAAAAGTTGCAAAAATAAAGAACAATAGAATTAGCTTCAAAATAAAAATATATTTCAAAAGTAATAAAATATATGACAAAATATTAAATAAAGTAATATTTTATATTAACAATGTAAGAATACTAAATATTGAATAATTTAATAAAGAAAATATAAAGCAAAAAATTTATTCAATGACTATATAAGTTCTTTTAATTTAATAGAGATTTTATTATTGAGTATATTATATTAACAAATAAGTTGACAATTGATACTTATTAAAGCAATACGATCTAATGTCAAACAAGCCCGATCACAATTTAATTATAATATTGACCGCACATCACGCGGGTACAACTACTAGTAAATAAATAATAATCGGATTATTTAATAGATGTATTCTTGGATAGATAGATTCATTAAATTAAAAAAGAAAAAGATACACTGATTATAATAAAAATATATATGTTTGAATTATAATATACAAATTTGGATAGTTTATAGGACTTCAAACTGGATAGAGCAGGATTAGTGGAACCCGAGGTCGTCTTAAAATAGAAAAGAATTGGACTCGAAAAAGGCCCGCTCTTATAGAAGAGCTATAAAAACGGATCGGAACTTCTATTTTCAATTTTAATTATGGTATTCTTAAAGAACTTTGAATCAAGAGAGACATTGTGGTTATTATTTCACATGAATGTGATATAAAAATAATAGCGAAGTTATAATTGGTTTTGGAATCATTTATATTGAGGCAAAAACCAACCAAATTCAAGATTAATAATCTCATATTTTATCACAAAATTATTGTCCATTTTTCCATGAACTTAACTGGAGTACATTTTATCACGACACTATAGGCAATTGCTCTTGTTGGCATGACTGACTCGTATATGCTTTCTTACATATGATAGTGTGTATAGTGTTGGTATTTATGCGCTCGCGTCCAACTCCCATACATCTATATACACTAAAATAATATCTTTCGAGAATTCTTTTTCTATGAAAAATATTTCCCCTCGTATCAATCAATAGATCGTAATTATTATTAGTTGGTTGTAAATTTTGTTAGGTGAAGGTTTTTTTCTTTCTAATTAGTTATTCGATAAATTTATCTTTTTGACTTATATTTATTTTGTTATTATAGTTGATCCATTGCCTTATTGTTTTGAATATTTTTAGGAGCTTGCGTTAGCAACAATCTCCTCAAATTTCCTTGGGTGTGGTTCTTTGATAAGGAAGTATTCCCTTAACTGGGCTATTGTAGGACTTATATAGTGTGTTGTTGGGGACCCAATGATAAGAACCCACTGATTATGCATCCTTGTTTGAGGGTGTTAAGGTGTAACGTTTAAACTTTAAAACATATGCATGTTTCTTTGGTTTCCTTTACAAACTATTTCATTATATATATATNTCTCTCACAAACGTTCCTAGAGGATAGCTTAGGCTAGACCATGATTAGTAAGTCTTGACGCATACGCTATCACTCACACATAGTACGAAATGTTTCGGGGAGTTAGAAAGTCACCATAGATCTTGAGATTTCTGAATAGGGCAACTTTTCGATTGCTGATCCATAGGCATGCAAGAGAGAACCAGGTGAACTGAAAGATCTTAGTAGCCAGAGGAAAAGAAATCAAAAACGATTCTGGTAGTAGATGCGGGCGAAATGCGAGCTGCCTACACCGCGAAAATAATGGGGGTTGTGGGATCGGAGAGCAATACAAGTGTCGTGCAACTAGGTGAAGCAACCCGAATGTTGCACCCTAGATGGCGAAAGTCCAATAGTTGAAACTTGAAAGCATTACTAACTTAGACTCTGACCGTGTGCCTTTTGAAGAACGAGACGGTGACTTATAGACAGTGGCTTAGTTAATGAAACCCACCAGAGCCATAGCGAAAGCGAGTCTTTGTAGCGCATTTGTCACTGCTCTACAAAGGAGTGCGAGACCCATCGACAAGAATTTTGTGTGATGCCAAATCTTGAGAATGTTTATCAATCCGAAGATATCAGTCTTTCTAAAATATGCCTTTACAAGGTATAGTATCCCAAAGTTCCAAAAATGAGATGACAGGAGTAGTACCTTAGGCCTTTTGTTTTAAGCAAAACAAAGGTGTCATTTGGACAATGTACTTTTGAATTTCTTTTTTCTAGAAAAGTAATTAAGAATTTCTTTTTTTTCTAGAGAAGTAATTAAGAATTTCTTAGAAAGATATGGTGCAAAGCAAAGACATGTTTTACATACCTCTAGTTTCTAGTAGAAGTTATTTTTTGAGAGTATTCCAAAATACTTAATTAACAAAAATATATTTCTGATGAGACTTTTACACACCTCTAGTTGGTGTATATTCCAATTAGACTCTCGGCATCCTTCCCTCCAAGAACTTTCCACCTTGCTCTTGGGGAGACTTGAATCACAACCTCTTGTTGAAAGTGGAGATTGCTTACCATCAGAGCAACCCCTCTTGTCACAATTAATCAAATACTAAGTCTTTTTTAATTGGAAAAATCTCACAAGCACAGTGATAGCATTTGTTCTTTGCGTGCGCACCTTTACTTACTTTCCCTCTCTCTCACTTATGCTTTGCCTTAGCTTCAGACATGGCAGCTGTTTCTCTACCTTTAATTTTCCTTTATATACAATGAATGGTTCAGGGATTTGCAGATCACGCGGGCATGAGTGCATTAATTAAGCTTTAGTAATTAATTAATATAATGGCGGAAGAAGAGTCACAGTCGCTGGAGTATACACCAACATGGGTGGTCGCCGTCGTCTGTATCGTCATTGTTCTTATTTCCCTTCTTGCCGAACGTGGCCTTCATCGTCTTGGAAAGGTACTTGTTTTATTAAGTAGGCGTTTGGACATAAAAAATGGTAATGTTTGAAAACAAAATGGTATTTGGAGTTCAGTTGAAAAATGTTATTTGGAATTTGAAATTATGTTTCGACATGCATGCATTTTACTTGAAAAAATGTTGCACATTTGTAAGTGGAGAATTTTTTTTTCTGAAATATTTGAAAAACTTATTTTCGAAATTTTGTAAAAAGCTTTTAAAATTCATGGACCAACACATTTTTTTTTTAAAATAATAAATTTAAAAAAGGATTTTTTTTTTGGACAAACGGAGCCTAATTTATTGTACATTTTGGCAAAATTAAAAGCATTTAGTATCATATTATTATTGTTTTAATGATACCATGTTGCATACAGTTCTTCCGGGACAAGAAACAAGATGCATTATTTGAGGCCCTGCAGAAATTAAAAGAAGGTTTGACACTTACATTTTCGTTACAATATTTTGAGGAAAACGCGATTATATAGTTAATTTTTTTTAAAAAACTTTTGGCTCTTGAATTTCCAGAATTGATGCTTTTGGGGTTTATTTCCTTATTATTGACGGTGTTCCAAGGGCCAGTAAGCCAACTATGCATTCCTAAAAATATATCCATAATAATGCTTCCATGTATGTTGAAAGAATCTGGTACTTCTAATCATCTCACGACAACAACTGGGAGACATCTTTTAGCTGGAGGTAACGGTGTAGACCATTGTAGCCGTCATAAGGTATATATATATGTTGTTACATTTCTAAAATAGTTTTTTAAATAGTGCTTAGCGCGACTCAAATTAAGTCTATTTGTATACATATATAGAGTGTGATCCACAATCCACACTAATTGTTTTAAGTATCTTATTGATTTTTTTTGTGTAGGGACAAGTTCCACTTTTATCGTTGGAGGCATTGCATCAACTGCACATTTTCATATTTGTGTTGGCACTCACACATGTGGTCTTTTGTGCCACGACCATGGTTCTTGGAGTTGCTAAGGTAGGTGTCCTTTAAATCTTTTTGACAGAAAATTACAACCTTCTTTAATTTCTTCTCAAAAAATTCTGGAAGGGAACATATTGAGCAAATACCAAATTGACAGTAGAAAAAGGATATATTATGCCGCATGATAAATTGATAATATTATTCAAAAGCTTATAACTTAGCTTATATTGTCTCATTAATATCATGACCTTAAGTTAGTGTTGTCCTTTTATTTACTTGTAATTTGTAACAATATATTTCAATAATTAGTACGCAACCACGTAATGTAAAATTTACCACTTAGCACCTCCTTCTTTGTGTAAATAGATACAACGTCAATGGGGACATTGGGAGCACTCAATTCAAAGGGAACCCAGGCCACACCATGGTAAACTTTGTGTTGATATTTATTTGGTATTTGTTTATATTCATTTTTCTAAATTTTTCTGAAGTCAATATAGGATTTTTAACTAATTATTACCATGATATCTCCTCTTTGTGTAGTGCATATTATCCATCTTAAATCATTCATGGATAGAGCTGGTAGACGTTGGAGGAAATACACTGTCGTGAGTTGGACGGTAAGTTGATCGACCTGGTGTATTTGGAATGACTGAAAATATTTTTCAAAAAGTATTTTTTTTTTAAATAATCGGTATTTGGTTAGAGAGTACTGAAGAATATTTTATAGAAAATAAGTTATTAAAGAATGATAATTATTTTTTGATGCTTGGTTGGAGAGTGAATAATAATTTTTCTAAAATATATTTATTAAATAATGATAATAATATTAGCAAATCGGATAATATTTTAATAAAGAAATTTAGGCCTCATTTGTTTATTTAAGATTAAAACGTTTGAATCTGGATACATAACTGAATATGAAGATGTGTATTAAGATCTGATAAATGATTAAGACTGAGTGTTTTTTTAACATCTGAATATATAAAATTTATCTTTTTAAAAAAAATTAGTAAACATAAAATTTGAATAAAATACTAATTAATCTAATAGTGGTGGTTTTAGGTAGTACTAGTGGTGATTGATAGCGATAATGTACGATTTTGATTGAGGATAGTGGTGGTGGATGGTGATAGTTAATAATGGTGGGTGGTGGTTGTGATTGAGGAAGGAAATGGTGGGTGGTGGTAGTTTATAATGGTGGACAATGTCGGATGGTGATGGGGTGACTGGTTGTGGTAGTTGAGGTGGGTGAAAATGTGGTTATGGTTGAGGATGATGGTGGTGGAGATGGTGGGTGAGGGTAGTAGTGGCGGTTACAGTTGAGGATGGTAGTGATGGTGGTGGTAATAGTTGATAATGGTAGGCGGTGACGGCTGTTAGTAATGAATGTGGATGATATCATCTTAATGAAATTAAGTCTTTGTTATAGATATTAATCATACAGACCTATTCAAACCCATTAAGTGACGGTAAAGTAAAAAAAAACATACTTAATAATAATTAAGATTCAGATCTTCATTAAGTGCAACCGAGATTTAATAGTATTAAAGATTGATGATAATGTTTAATTGTTGGTTGGAGGCTTGGAGCAATAATATGATGCGAAGGAAAACGACTTCCACACAAAGTGAGAATTCCATGGTTTGATAAAAAAAAATGTTCCTTGAAAATATATTTTGACGACCAAATATCAAGATGACTTTTTTCCGAAAAATATTTTTCTCATACCACAAATTTATAGTATTCCTCAGAAGAAAAATGTGGAAACATAACTTTTTTTTTCTTGGTACCAGAGTTAACATTTTTCATGTGTATATAATAGGTGGCATTTTTAAAACAATTTTATGGTTCAGTAACCAAGTCAGATTATATTGTCTTGCGGTCTGCATTTATCAGAGTAAGCAGTAATTCTTTCCATTATCTTTCATTTATCAATTTGTGTCAATTCTATGTTTTTATTGGAACTACAGCTTTTTACCTACAATACGTTCGTTTATGTATATAGGAACATTGTCCAACCAATCCTAAATTTGATTTTCACAAATATATGATGCGGACACTAGAGCATGATTTCAAAAAGATTGTCGGAATCAGGTAAATTAGCATACATATACTAATTATAGCTAAGATGATAATTTAGATTCAATTATATATAATATCAAGCTAAATTTTGGAAAATGATCTTGAACAGTTGGTACTTGTGGCTTTTTGTCGTTCTCTTTTTGTTGATGAACATTGCAGGTATTTTTCTATCCTAGCCTATGGATCTTAGTCCTAATCTTGCTTCTTTTTTTCTTCCCATTTCTGGAATTATATATCTAATTTTGAGCAATGAACTGCTCCTAATAATGTAATGAAATGTTCAAATTTGCAGGATGGCACACTTACTTTTGGCTATCATTTTTACCTCTAGTTGTAAGTGAGAAATCTTTCTTTCCCCCACCCCCTTTTAATGTCAAGAATTCACAAAACAATAACAAAAGAAAACAAGCCATTGTCAAGTTGCTTTATATAACAATATATATTATGACATGTGTAAAAATATATGCAGCTATTACTACTAGTGGGAACAAAATTGGAACACATAATAACAGAATTGGCTCAAGAAGTAGCAGAGAGGTCGTCAGTAGTAGATGAAACCACACCAGTTAGACCTTCTGATGAATTGTTTTGGTTTCACAGTCCAACTCTAGTTCTTTACCTCATTCACTTCATTTTGTTCCAAAACTCCTTTGAGATTGCTTTCTTTGTCTGGATTTGGGTAACTTCACTTTCTTTATTTAACTTCAATCACTTTTTTCTTCTTGTCTCACCCTAGCTGAGTGCTCTAACATGAAACATGTTAATTGACAATTCTTCAGTGTACTTATGGGTTCAAATCATGCATCATGGAAGAATTAGGTTTCATCATTCCAAGACTTGTTATTGGGTAAAACCCTCACATCCCATAGTAATTTTTTTTAATTTCAAGAAACACTAGTATTGGTTTTTGGCTTAAAGTAACCATGTACATTTTGTTGTGTCAGGGTGATTGTCCAAGTTCTTTGCAGTTACAGTACTTTGCCCTTATATGCTCTTGTCACACAGGTATAGAGTTCTTCTACATGTCTTTAAGGATATATATAATATAATTTACAATGATGACGAGGGTCTTCCGGAAACAACCTCTCTACCTTCTTAAGGTAGGGATAAGGTCTGCGTACACTCTACCCTCCTCGGACCCCACTAGCGGGATTACACTGGGTTTGTTGTTGTTGTGATGATGATTCTTCAATAAGAATTGTGTGTGATTGTGCAAATTTGACATGGACACAGATGGGAAGCAGATTTAAGAAAGGAATATTTGATCAGCAAATAGAAGGGCTTCTCAAGTTCTGGGCAACAGGTGGTAGAGCTGGTTCATCAACCCAAAATAAGATGGCCATGGAAACACTAGAAAGCATCTGTGTTTCCAAGAGACCTGCAATTGAAGGCATCTCATCAACTGTTGAACTTTCTTATCTAAACAATCATCACACAACTCCTTAGTTATACAGTTATTAGCATTTCTGATGAGCATAATAAGAATGAACAATTAACTATTCTTTTAAAAGTATATGTGGTTGTCTTTGCATTGAGAGAGAAGGAGAGATGTTCATGCTCCACAATCAAATGTTGTCTTCATTTTCCAGGATCAATTAGTCAGGCATCAGCTCTAGTTACATAACACTGTTTTTTTCTCAATAAGCATCTTTCGATTTCTAGATACAAATATGGAGGGATATATAAAACATGCCGCTCCAATTCAAATTATTTACACTAGTTCCCTAGACAGAGTTGAGGGTTAACATTCCTCTTACTACAAAGTTGAGCAAAAACTAGGACGCTTGGAGTTTTCAGTTGGGAGAGGTTCCATTTCTAACCTCCCACGGTCGGAGGCAGAGCCTTCACCATTGTTTTCTTCTTCACTTTCAAGTTGACTCAGTGTCCTCTTGGCATAGACTGTGAATGCCGCTATAATGAATGAAATAACATTATAGGCAATCTCAACTCTAGTCAGGTGATGGTTCCTATATTGCACATCCGCAAATGTCCTCATTAGCCGACCACTGAATACAAATTGCAGGAAGACAACATAAGCAAATAAACATAGAAAAGAAGGGAGGGGTGCTGTGTGGGGTATTTACCTGTAGATATAAATGAAGGATTCCGGAATCATTCCTGCTATAGATCCACAAAAATAAGGCCAGAACCTCATCTTTGTCACTACCACTGCATAATTGAAGATTGCGTATGGAAATGGCGAAATCCTAAATGCAGCAACCACACGGAATTGATGAAACCAACTCCTTCTCCCACCAGTCTAATCATGGCTGTCTTGTGAGGCCATCTCTTTAACCATTGCTGCAGATGCAATCAACTAAACAGCATGAAGCACAATACAGGAAATTACTATTACCAGTCCACAAGACCAATGAACTAATAAACTAGACAAGACATGAAGGTATCTCACATGAATTCTATCTCGGAAAAGCAAACCAACGAAATATGGCAGGGTCATCCCAACTGTTGTTCCAGCCATTATAATAACAAATCCAAGACCATATCCAAAGATCATTCAAGCGAGCCACATTGATGGTCCAGAAGGAATCAGGAATACCGGAAACAGTGCCAAAGAAGCTACCAGTACGAGAGCAAGCACTGGACGGCCAAATGCAGTGGCTTCCCATTGTAGGATTGGAATTAGAATCTGTAAATTGAAGAATGCAATGATTAACAAAGAAACCTTACTTATGCATCTTCTACACAAAAGAAACAGAAGAAGAAAAACAAAATAGCCATTGCAAGAGTAATCCACTTGTAAGCTACAGGCGGAGTCCCGTGTCTGAGAATCTTGAGCTGAATCACACTAATTTCGATTTTAATAAATAACGGGGAAGTGTTATCTTTCTCCACCTCCGGTTTCATTATCAATATTTTTGGTGCAGCTCACAAAACTAATCAGTTTCATTATAGATAGTACATATGTAACATCTGTTAACAGAACGTGATCGAATCTTGATCACGCCCGCCTTATAAAAATACAAAGCGGTCGCTGCAAATATATTTCGGTTAACAAGTCCGGAGTCGAATCCCACGGAGAATTAACCTATCAATCACAGCTATTGGACTCGCAAAAATCCACGTATTCAATCTTCAGAGATATTTGATTAACAAATTGGGTGTTTGTTAACTAAATATTACGTAATAAAAATTCAATAATTAAGAACTAGCTATAAACTGGTTGTAAGCAAGAATGAGAATGGTCTAAGGTTCTTATTTCCCCTTTTGTCGGAATCCTTTGTGTTATGTTTGCTATAATTTTGCCTAAGTATTCTCTATCGATCATGAGCACTCTGACTGTTGTAACTCTCTCCCGAGTAATTACAACAATATACTAGACATATTCTCCCGAATTACGCTAGCTGACCTTAGTTACAGCTCACTTAGATCACACCCAAAGTTTCGTTATCCCTAATCCCACCTTTAAACCCTTCGTATTGATCCCTCATATACATTAAGAGTAGTGTTGTTCAACAACTACCTAAATATACACTCTCTCCCAAGTAATGCATACTAAATAGGCACAGCCGATTGAGGGCCATTCAATCAACAACAATCACAATATAGTTGAACAAATAGAGAAAGTATTAAGGCAAATCTATATTAACATAGCAAGAAATTCATCCTCCAATAGGTTCATCAAAACCCTAGATTAGATATTTAGCTACTCATGTTCATAGTAACGATATCCAAAGTAATTTGCATAATTAAATTACAAAGTAAAGATAAAGAGATGTAGAAATCAATGAATCCAACTCCAAAGTATGTGTGACATGAGCTATTCTTGCCTCCAGTTACAAAAGTCCTTCAAAGTGACGTTTTTGGGTCTATTTATATGTTTGGGACAAGCCCTAAATGTGTAGGTTAATTTCTGGTCGAACCGGAAAACACCCAAAACCAACAAAACTCGGACTGGGCCCAGCCTTAGACCTGGCGTCGCTTGGGTAGCGCTTAGCTAATGCCAGGCTAAGCCTGGCTTTAAGCAGGCGTCGCCTGGCTTGGCTGGCTTTTGCCCGACTTCTCCTTTTCACCGTTCTCGAACGCACTTTCGATGTTCAAGCATTCCTTTAGCTCTATTTTCATTTCTGATATACCTACACATAAAATAAACTCCATTACGCTCAACCAAAGTGTAATTTAACATTAAAGCATGTAAAACGCAAGGCATAAAATGTGCAAAAACCATGAATTATAGCCACACATCAATACCCTACACTTAAACATTTGCTCGTCCTCGAGCAATCAAGTTACACTTATGGACACCACCTATTTAGCAATTCCCTTAACTTATTATACCAAGAATCTTTAAAATAGTTTAAGCACAAAGGCGTGACATCCTCGCCTCAATAATTGACTCACAAATACCATGCTTTATTCACAATTCACTTACTTACTCTAACAAGGAGGTCAACAACATTACCTTTCATTTATGAATCATGTGCCCTCACCCAATCAAAGAGCTTTAGTTCCACACACCTTGCATTTTAAGACTGTAGGAATTCAAGATAGGAAAAATTCACTCGCTCTTAGAAATAACATTCATATGCCCCAAGTGACGTACCATAAACTTGCCCTTAGTGTAATACTTTACTAATCGAGTTCATTCAGTCTAAGATCAAATAGGACTTTCATTGGTTGTAATATAGGCTGCAGGTCGGGTAGGATACATTTGGTATAAGTGATTACACCTCCCTTAAGCACTTTAATACAAATACTTCAACCTTCAATCCCTTATTTATGTCAAACCAAGATTCCACCTTAACTTCAATATATTTTACCCCTAATTCTTTAAGCACCACTATGTCCAAAGCCACCACCATCAATATTCTTTAACCTTCAATATATTTTTTTCTATCCAAATGGCTTTTATTGACACATTTTTTTTTTCGATGCACCTTTCTCCTGATTTCATTGTTCCACTCAAAAGCCAAATCACCACCCCACACTTTAACTTTTCAATAATTCATCACAATTCAAGTGCTTACGAGAGGTGACAAGGTTCAAATATACGGTTTATTCAAACAAAAGGGTACGACTTGTAATGTGCTTACCAAAGAAACATGATTATAAGCTCAAAGAAGTTAACTATGATACATAACATTCAGGTGGGTACTTTATATATATCTGGCTCAACAAAGAACTTCTTATATCACTTCTCAGACTGAACAAGATTTCCATTTCGCTTTGCACACACGGGGCAAGTACTCGACATCAATTGCACTGCACAGAATACAACAAAACCTTACAAACACATGACACATAACTCATTCAGAATTGGTTCTATCACGACACTCCAGTCAAATCAGTTAAGCAAATTTAAGAGTTTGATTTAAGGTATTTATCCTAGAGTCAAAAATTGAGCCTAAGCATCTCAACCGGAGTACTGATTATTCTCAAGGCATCATCAAGGTCGGGATATTGCTGCGATTAAGTGCTTAGCCACGTGATTCCTACTCCTAAAAATTAAAAACTACCTACACCTGGTTCAACTAAAAACCCTTGAAAAAGAACCACGACCCAAAGAAAAACCAAGGGACAATTACTACACTACCTAAAAAAAACTCTTTTTGATATTTTCTTTAGACTTACTTCCCTCAAGAAAACTGCCTACGAAATCCATCGTCCGGAAGAGTCCAATCTATTTCTGTTTTAGAGAGAAAACAAAACAATCTTAGCAAATTCTAAAAATAAACACAATCTAACAACTACTAATTTCTACCACTTACAAAAAAACACACAAAAGCAATAACAACAAAACCAATGCTATCAACCAACAATAGCTACAAGTTCTCACCCCGCACTTAAATCATGCAGTTTCCACAGTGCATACACAATTAGACATGACAAAAATTCAAAGAGTAGGGTGCAAGAAAACTCCCTAGTCAAGCAGCGTCGTCATCATCTGACGCTCTCCACTCTTCATCATGTTCTTCCTCTCCATTGTCACCATCTCCCTCACCATCCGAATGCATTGGCTCAGCATCAGAGCACTTTGGTGTGTTGACATCCTCATCATCGGGGAGTTTGCATCCCTTTCCTATGCCAACCATCTATTGAGCATGAGCATTGAGCGGGTATAGATGCTTTAAATCAGCCCTCTCCTCAGCTGTGGCCGAGTGACCCCCAATTCTCAGCTGCAAATCTATCATCCCATAAAGATGGGCCATGAGACTGTCATCACGCACATTGCGCTCAGCACCTGTCAGTGACCCAGCTTCGCCTTTCAGCCGTAAGTTCGTGGTGTCTGTTTGCCGGATGAACTGATCGATAGTGTGGTCAAAATCAGGCTCCACCTCAACCCATGTTGTAGGAATCGAGGCAGGAAATTAGGAAATGCATCCGATCAATCCTTTTACTCATTCACACTTGTTCCATTTAGTGGCAAATCAGGTGACCCACATTCACTCTCTGCCCTGTCATAAGGAAATATAACACACAGGTTCGCACTCGGCTTATAAGCATGTCATGATTGCACGGTAGGAGCCGTGCATTTATCAACCTGAGCCCACCTGAGCCTCTGCCTTCATTTTCTTCTTAAAGAACCTCTTGTGACGATTCGTTTCCTTGTCCCAAACCCATGCAACAGTAGAGTCTACCCCACAGAGAGTGTGCCTTAGCTCTCTATAAGTTGGCCTGTAAATGAATTGTTCCAATGGCTCCACAGAAACATTGGGAGCACCTAAAAAATGGCATATGTCCTTGGGTGAAAAATCAATCAAGCGACCCCAGATTGGCACCAGCTCCTCAGTGTCCTTAGGATCAAACCCCACATAGAATTCCCTTACTAAGTTGAGGTTGATGTCCCCTGTGCTTTGAAAGACATAGCTTAACCCCAGCTCCTGAATCTCTTTCCAAATAGTCGGATACTTAGCCTTTACACTGCGCTCCTGAATAGCTCCCTTCGGATGGACATGATTAACGTTTATACCAATCCCTCGTGTGCATAGGTATGCTGTTCATGCCAAATTACCATTGGCCTGGGGGTTGTCGGCGCATGGCAGCTACAACTGCTACTGCTTGGGCACCCGTCATACTTGAAGCAACCTCTCCCCTATTTCTTTTCTTTGGAGGAGGTGCAGAGGTTGACTCTACTTTAGATTGGGCTGATGAAGTGGCCTTTCCCTTGCCTGTATCTTTTCTGGGCGGCATCTTCGTTCCTGCACAAGCGAGCAATCGTCAGTTAATGCTACTTTACACAATACACACACCAGCTTCCTCAACTTGCCAAGGTTACTCAGACTTCACCTTGTATTTTGCTTAATATTAGAGTCACACAACAATGTTTTGGCTACTCGTGAGCCACCCCACACTTAAGAGGTTAATGTGGTGCACTTTTACATAGCACTAAATTACCAATCCCGAAGACTCGGGCTCCAAAGGTACTAGGAATGCAATTGAGGCATTTTATCGAACACTTGACGAGCACTAATGCTTTAGGAGTTCTTGTGGACTTGAGGGATTGCCTCATCCTCCCAAATCGGCTTGGGGGTTCCATATTACCACACATTTTCAAAAACTCAGCACCAATCCTAAGGGATTTATGGGATTGGGTCACACAAACACCATAAAACCATGAAGAACAACCACCCTTAATGAGGCACAAGCAACAATGAAACATAACCAATAATGAAGAACACCCACTACTCAACATATGTACCTAACTCGAAATTACCAAGAAACAAGATTAAATTATACCTTTGAAGCTTTGTGAGGAATAGATTGACTTAGAAATTCGGATGAGTGTGAAGGGCTAGCAAGATGAAGCTTGACCTCTATGTGAATGGTGATTGTGTGTGGTTGAACAATCAATATGTGCAATGGGTTAGTGTGCTTGTGAAATTTCTTGTGGAGATTGGTGTGCGTTGATGGGAGAGAGGTTAGGGTTTGCTTTGAAAAGAGATTAATAAGTGAGTGTGTGTTTGTAATGAGTTTTTCGACCAAAGGCTCGTTTATAACTTTAAAAAAATAAGGCAAAATCACTTACTTGGCGTTAGCCAGGCGTTGCCAGGCTAAGGCCTGGCTGACCCTAGCTTTAGTCAGGCGAGGCCAGCTTAAGGCCGGGATGTCCCTAGCATTTTCCTGACTTCTCGTGATGTTTAAATCTTGCATGACTCGCCCGAACTCACCTGCAAACTTGTTAGTATCTAAAAACAAAAACAAAAATTCTAACTACACTAAAAATCAACTACGAATTGGGTTGCCTCCCAAAAAGTGCCTGATTTAACATTGCGGCATGATGAATACAACAGATCAATGGGTTTCCTCCCATAAAGCGCCTGATTTAACGCGTAGAACGACGCAGATACGTGCATTCACAATACGCTCAACATCGAAGGCTCGATCAAATGGATCACTGACACTACCTTTGCTTCATCCATGCCCACATAATGTTTTAATCTTTGCCCATTGACTCTGAACGTGCGAGAGTCATTATTCGCAGCAATCTCTACGGCACCCGTGGGGTGGATTTCAACCACACGAAATGGCCCTGACCATCGTGATTTCAATTTGCCCGGAAATAACCTTAGTCTTGAGTTGTATAGCAATATCGTATCTCTGAGTTTAAAATTCAGCTCAATAATATTTCTATCATGTATCGTCTTCATTCTCTCCTTATACAATCTTGTGCTCTCAAAGGTGTGATATCTGAACTTATCATGCTCGTGCAACTTCATTACTCTACTTGTGCCTGCAGCTTCAATATCAAGATTCAACTGCCTCAATGCCCACCAAGCTCTATACTCCAACTCTACGGGTAAATAACACGACTTCCCAAACATCAACTTGTATGGCGACATGCCAATTGGGGTTTTGAAAGTGGTTCGATGCGCCCAAAGTGCATCATCTAACTTCCTTGCCCAATCTGTTCTAGTTGCATTCACCATTTTAGTTAGCACACTCTTAATTTCTCTATTCGAGACTTCCACTTTCCTGCTTGTTTGTGGATGATATGAGGTGGCCACCTTGTGGCATACATCATACTTCTCCAACAACTTTGTAAAGGTTTGATTGAAAAAGTGAGTGCCTCCGTTACTGATTATTGCCCTTGGGTCCCAAGGGTGCCAAATCGGGTGAAAATGATCTTTTCTAAGAAAAGCAATTACCCCTTTTGCATCATTTGTAGGGAGTGCTGCAACTTCTACCCATTTGAACATGTAGTCCAAAGTGACGAGTATGTACTTGTTGCCATATGAGCTGATGAACGGCCCCATGAAGTCGATTCCCCATACATCAAACACTTCTACCTCCTGAATTGGGTTCATGGGCATCTCATGTCTGCGGGAAATGTTCCCGGTTCGTTAGCATTCATCACACCCCTTTATCCATAGATGTGTATCTTTGAACAATGTTGGCCAATAGAACCCCGACTCCAAGACTTTCGCAGCTGTCCTCACTCTCCCAAAGTGCCCACCATATGGTGATGCGTGACAAGCCTGCAAAATAGAAGACTGGTCTATCTCGAGGATACATCTCCAGATCATGTTATCAATACAAATCCTGAATAGATAAGGCTCATCCCAATAATATATACAACAATCACGAAAGAACTTTATCTTTTGAATAGAGGAAAGGTCATAAGGAACAATACCACTCGCTAGGTAGTTTGCAATGTCTGCATACCATGACGCTTCCTCAAGACTCATGGTTAGTAGTTGTTCATCTGGAAAGGTTTCCAGAATCTCTTCTACCTCAACCTTCTTTTCAGCTCCTTCCAGCCTGGATAAATGGTTAGCTACTTGGTTCTCCATTCCCTTTCGGTCACGGATCTCTAAATCAAATTCTTGTAGCAGTAGCACCCATCGAATCAAGTGCGGTTTTGACTCCTTCTTTTCAATTAAGTAACTAAGAGCAACATGGTCAGTATAAACAATTACCTTTGAGCCTATCAAATAAGACCTGAACTTGTCAAATGCGAACACCACTGCCAGCATCTCCTTCTCAGTCACGGTGTAATTTAGCTGGGCTCCACTCAACGTTCTACTTGCGTAGTATATTGGATGCATGATTTTATCTCTTTGCTACCCAAGAACTGATCCCACAACATAGTCACTAGCATCATATATCATCTCAAACGGTTGCTCCCAGTTGGGGGCAATTATGATAGGTGATGTTACCAGTCTCTTCTTTAATTCCTCAAAAGCTACCCTACAGTTATCAGGAAACACAAAAGGGTGATCGTTTTCAAGCAATTTACACAAGGGGTTAGCAATTTTGGAAAAATCTTTTATAAATCTCCTATAGAAACCGGCATGCCCAAGAAAACTTCTGATTGCTTTGACGGAGGTGGGTGGTGGAAGCTTTTCTATCACATCAACTTTTGCACGATCCACCTCAATACCTTTACTTGACACTATGTGCCCCAAGACTATACCTTCCTGTACCATGAAATGGCACTTTTCCTAGTTGAGTACTAGATTAGTCTCGATACACCTTTTCAAAACTCGCCTCAGGTTCACAAGGCAATCATCGAATGAATTCCCCACCACTGAGAAGTCATCCATGAAAACCTCCATTATCTCCTCTACCATATCTTTGAAGATGGCCATCATGCACTTTTGGAATGTAGTGTGCATTGCATAGGACAAAGGGCATTTGACGAAATGCATAGATTCCATAAGGGTAGGTGAACGATGTTTTCTCTCTATCCTCGGGGGTAATAAAAATCTAATTATACCCCGAGTACCCATCCAGGAAGCTAAAGTGAGACCTCCCTGCCAATCTATCTAGCATTTGATCAATGAATGGCAATGGGAAATGGTCCTTCCTAGTAGCCAAGTTCAACTTCCTGTAATCCATACAGATTCTCCAATCTGTGACTGTTCGTGTAGAGATCAACTCGTTATTCTCGTTTTCACTACCGTCATACCTCTTTTTTTCGGTACACACTACACTGGGCTAACCCAGTTGTTGTCAGAGATGGGGAATATGATTCCCGCATCTAACCACTTGATCACTTCTTTCTTCACCACTTCCTTTATGTTGGGGTTCAACCTTCTTTGATGTTCTCTGGAGGGTTTATGCCCATCTTCCAGTAGAATCTTATGCATACAGAAGGCCGGGCTGATCCCCTTGATGTCTGTAATGGTCCACCCAATTGCAGTCTTGCACTTAGTCAGTACCTGCAAAAGCTGTTCTGCCTACACATCTAACAAACTGGATGAGATAATAACAGGTAGAGTTGAGTGAGGCCCAAGAATGCATACCTGAGATGAGATGGTAGTGGTTTCAGTTCCAGCGTTGGTGGCTCTTCTATTGATGGCTTAGCTGGAAAAGTTTTTCTTTCCTCTAATTGTAAAGGCTAAAATTCGAGCTCCCTTTTCCAAAAACCTTGGCCTTCAAGAGCAAGTACCCACTAAACCAACTCTTCTCCATTAGCTTCATCTAAGTTCATGAGACATGCTGTTAGATGGCCTTTAATGTTCAGTGCCTTATCTTCCTCCTCCAGGACTACATCCACCGCATCTATCAGAGAGTAATTAGCATATTCACTTGGTCTCCGCATAGATTTTTGCACATTGAATGTTATCTCTTCATTGTTTAATATCATCTTGAGCTCTCCAGTTTCACAATCAATTAAAGCTCTTCCAGTGTCCAAGAATGGTCTTCCCAAAATTATGGAAATTTCCTCGTCAACCCGATAGTCAAGGATGATGAAATCTACTGGGAACATAAACTTCCCAACCTGCACCAATACATCATCTAGAATCCCAGAGGGCTTCTTCACTGTTCGATCAGCCAGCTGTAGTAGCATAGACATGGGTATAGCTCTTCCCATGCCTAGCCTTTTATAGATAGCCAGGGGCATAAGGTTTATGCTTGATCCCAGATCACACAGTGCCTTAGTAAAAGCAAAGTTGTCAATTATGTAAGGGATTGTAAAACTCCCTGGATCAGACAGCTTCTCGGCTATGGGTCTCGTCACAACAGCACTGCAGGTTTGGGTTAGTGTAACCATGGCCAAGTTTTGAAAGTCAAACTTGCAAGACATCAAGTCCTTCATCATCTTTGCATAACCAGGCATTTTCTTTAAAGCATCAATCAATGGAATATTTACCTGAATTTGCTTCAACATCTCCAAAAATTTCTTGTACTGCTCATCTTTCTAATACTTGGCCAATCTCTATGGGAGTGGTGCTGGAGGTCGCTTTTTCCCTGTGATTTGGTTTTTCTCTTGTTCAGGCACTGCTTCTACTGTCGGTTCCGGTGTAGCCTCAGTCTCTTTCTCAACCTGATCTTCCTTGTTGGTGTTCTCTTGCGCATTATGTACCGTCACCTCAGTTAAACCTGTTGGATTATCTATCTCAATGGGTACTGACACCAGTATTTCAGTTGGCCTACTTTCGCGAGCAATTGCTTGCTCCAGATCTAAGTCCCTACTATTTTGGAGACTCACTGCCATCAGCTGCTTTGGGCACTGCTCTTTTGGATTGATTTGGGTGTTTGCAGGTAACGTCCCATGAGGACGATAATTTAGGGCCATAGAAATCTGTCCTAACTGTATCTCAATGTTCTTAATTGCTGACTCATGTGAGTCTACTCCGTCAGCTAGTTTCCCAGTGGTCCCAATCACTTGTTGCATCATTCCCTCAAGTTTAGCAAACCCATCTTCATATCTCATAATCTGTTGCTGTGGAGGTTGTTGATAAGCCTGCTGCTGATTTTGCTGGTTATACCCTTGTTGCCTTTAGTAAGGTGCCATTTGCCCCTGTGGTCGCATAGCCCCATGATTATTGTTGTTATTGTACTGCTACTGAGCTGGTCTGTATTGTTGATTCTGCTGACCCCAATTCTGACCACCTGGTCTCGGTTCCCCGTAGTTAGCCACATAATTCATGTTCTCATGATATTGTTGATTCTCACCTTCAGCACCCCATGAGCATACATATGGTTGATTAATGCATGATGTACATGGACCCCCATTGGTTGCATCAACTATGTGTACCTGCTGCTTATGGCCTGATTCTTCAACTTTTTTGGTGAGGATGCTCATTTACGTCATCAGAGTAGCCATATTTTCAGCTATAGAGTTAGCTGGATCTAGAGCCACTGAGTGAACCACATGAGTGATTGGAGCATTCCTTGTTGTCCATCCTGAGTTTAGTGCCATCTTGTTAAGCACGATCTTGCTCTCCCTGAATGTCTTGCTAAAAAATGCTCCACCTGTTGAAGCATCAACATTGGCTTTCAAGCTATCTGCCAAATCCATGTAAAATCTCTGCCCCAACATCTGCTCCGGAATACCATGATGTGGACACGTAACCAATAGACCCTTGAATCTCTCCCACGTCTCGTGTAGTGTCTCAGTTGGTTTCTGCTTGAAGCTCAATATTGCCAAGCAGTCTTATTGGGTGGATGAAATTTGCTCAAATATTGTTTAACTAATTCCTCCCAAGTAGTGATGGAGTTGATGGGGAGTGAATTAAGCCAAGTTTGAGCTGCTCCTGTTACTAAGAATGGAAATAACAGCAAGCGTATTGCTTCCGGTGTCACGTTGTGTTGCCTCTGCGTAGCACAAATTGATAGGAAATTCTTGAGATGCTATTGTGGATCTTCAACGTATGACCCAAAGAATAGTCCCTTGTTCTGCAATAGATGTAGCATGTTGTTTGTGATCTGGAATGAATCTGCTTGCATCTGAGGGACTACAATAGCAATTGCTAAGTTGTCAGCTCTGGGTTGTGACCAATCATATAGTGTTGCTTCTGGCACAAGAGGTGCCACATCTTGATAATTTGGGTCATTTGCGTTGTTTTTATTGTTTGGGTCATTCATGGTGTCCGTGTTGTTTACTTCGTCTCCCATATCTGGTTCAAATTTTTCGGATGAGTTTTGTGGTTGATTGCCTTTCATGTTTGCTCGATTCAATGCCTTGAAAACTTTCTCAGGATCTGATAATGCTTCAAAAAATTTACCAGTTCTTGAGGAGTTTTTAGGCATGCACCTGTAACACCCAAGACTACAAACGCTAGAATTTCAATGAAAAATTTATATTGAAGAAAATTGTCTACACTAAGAATTTTTACACTTCTTTTTAACTGCAATCAATAACACCGCTAATTCCTCGGCAACAACGCCAAAATTTGATCACGCCCAACTACGCCTTATAAAAAGACAAAGCGGTCTCTGCAAATATATTCCGGTTAACATGTCCGGAGTCGAATTCCACAGGGGATTAACCTATCAATCACAGCTATTGGACTCGCAGAAATTCACGTATTCAATCTTCAGAGATATTAGATTAACAAATTAGGTGTTTATTAACTAAATATTACGTAATAAAAATTCAATAATTAAGAACTAGCTGTAAACTGGTTGTAAGTAAGAATGAGAATGGTCTAAGGTTCTGATTTTCCTTCTTGTCAGAATCCTTTCTGCTATGTTGGCTATAATTTTGCCTAAGTATTCTCTATCGATCATGAGCATTTTGACTGTTGTAACTCTCTCCCGAGTAATTACAACAGTATACTAGATATATTCTCCCAAATTACGCAAGCTGGCCTTAGTTACAGTTCACTTAGATCGCACCCAAGGTTTCGTTATCCCTAATCCCACCTTTAAACCCTTCATATTGATCCCTCATATACGTTAGGAGTGGTGTTGTTCAACAACTACCTAAATATACACTCTCTCCCGAGTAATGCATACTAAATAGGCACACCTGATAGAGGGCCCTTCAATCAACAACAATCACAATATAGTTGAACAAATAGAGAAAATATTAAGGCAAATTTATATTAACATAGCAAGAAATTCATCCTCCAAGAGGTTCATCAAAACCCTAGATTAGGTATTTAGCTACTCATGTTCATAGGAACGATATCCAGAGTAATTTGCATAATTAATTTACAGAGTAAAGATAAAGAGATGTAGAAATCAATGAATCCAACTCCAAAGTATGTGTGGCACGAGCTATTCTTGCCTCTAGTTGCAAAAGTCCTTCAAAGTGGCGTTTTTGGTCTATTTATATGTTTGGGACAAGCCCTAAACATGCAGGTTAACTTCTGGTCGAACCAGGAAACACTCAAAACCAACAACACTCGGACTGGGCCCGGCCTTAGACCTGGCGTCACCTGGGTAACACTTGGGTAATGCCTGGGTAACGCCAGGCGTCGCCTGGCTTTAAGCTGGCCTCGCCTGAGTAACGCCTGACTTGGCTGGCTTTTGCCAACTTCTCCTTTTCACCGTTCTCGAGTGCACTTTCGATGTTCAAGCATCCCTTTAGCTCTATTTTCATTTCCGATATACCTACACATAAAATAAACTCCATTACGCACAACCAAAGTGTAATTTAACATTAAAGCATGTAAAACGCAAGGCATAAAATGTGCAAAAATCATGAATTATAGCCACACATCAAATCTCCCAGAATCTCATGTCATTCAGTCATTTTAATCAACAGAAGAGGTTTATATATGCCTACAACTCAAGCAAAACCATATTAATTTGTTTGGCATTGTTTGACTGGATACAAAATTATGCAAAAAGGACAAGGCGGAGACCTTTGAAACATAGGCTGAATATGCATGAAATACCAAAATACCCTTGTACCAAACAATTTAGTTTATACTCATTGAGTCTACAAGTCATATCAATGTCAAGTGGAATGTTAGGGGTCGTTTGGTAGGATGCATTAGATAAAATAATGCTTGCATTAGCTTTGTGTATTAATAATACCTTGTTTGATAGACATTTTGAACTTATACATTAGTTATGCAAGCATTAGTTATACATCCTATTTGTTATTATCCTATGCATAACTAATGCATTGAAAATCATGGTATTAGCAATGCAATGGGTTTTAATGCATGCATTAGCTTAGTTAAAGACAAAATTGTCCTTCAAAATTTATGCTTGATTAAAATATGCTAGTTATAATATATGCAAGTTTAAAATAATTCAAATAGTGAGAAATAAAATTATATCTCTAGTAAATAAATAAATACTTAGCATATTTCCTTTTTTATAAATAAATATTTAGTTCTATATTACAATATAGGTAGACAAATCAAATAATTGTTTTAAACTCTTTCATATAAAAATATTTCTCAACATATGTTTCTTTTAAAAAGTTTTAGAGTGATGGACTGGTTTTGAGGGTATTTTTGTAAACAAGTAATTCTTTTAGAAATTGTGAAGTGCTTTAATATATCAAACCAAACAATGAATAAAAAATATGTAAGCATAACTAATACTCCCTCCGTTCCAGTTTATGTGAACCTATTTACTTTTTNTAATTCTTTTAGAAATTGTGCAATGCTTTAATACATCAAACCAAACAATAGATAAGAAATATTTCAGCATAACTAATACCAGCATAGCTAATGAAAGCATAACTAATACCAGCATTACTAATATATCATATTCAACATTATTCTTATGCACCCTACCAAACGACCCCTTAAAGCGAAACAACAACAACAACAACAACAACAACAACAACGAACCTAGTATACTCCCATAAATGAGGTTTGAGAAGGGTAGTGTGTACGCAGAACTTACCCCTACCTTATAAAGATAGAGATGCTGTTTCCGATAGACCCCTACCTTGATGGAAATGTGTTAATCTTTTTGATCGGACAAAAAAATGAAAGAGCACTGACCTAATAGGGACATATGGAATATATATAGATAATAGCATGATCAAAAAGAAAAATCAGGAGTACCTTCTGAAAAAGAAGGGGCGTTCCCCACTTTATGAAAACTAGTAGAATTATGACAGTGAAAATATAATAGACTCTCTTCTGGACAGTGATTGGGGTTGTGAAGTTTCAACTTCAGCTGTTCTTTCATTTCTTATAACAAGACTCACATACTCGCTGTCTTCCTTTACTTGACTCTCACGGTTAGTGTTTGCTTTGTCTGAATCATTTGTTGACCAGAAACCTGTAGATGAAAAGACAGATGAACAAATTAAAATATGTACTCATAGAGACTGAAGATATTCTCATACGTATACAGAATTCTGTGGGTCGTATTGCATCATAATGAAAGATAAAAAGGAAG